TCATTGCCTTCCATTAAGTCATATGTTGGCGAGGAAGTGGATGTGGCATGATCACTTAGGCCTGTTGGGAGAATCACTTAAGGCTCTTCATTTGTCGGTGAAGTTGAGCACTCCTCAAGTGGTTCCTCCAATGAGAGCAACTTCTCATCACATTTGGACTTGTCATATTTTTCTTTGAGCATGGTCCAAATGAGATGAGCATCATCAAGCGATTCACCATCTCCAAATATGATGGCATCAAAAACATCTTCACTCAAAGCACTAAGACATTAGTAGCTTGAGCATTGTGTTGTAAGCATTTCACTTCCTCTCTAGATAAGATGGCCAAATCATCACTAGGAGGTGAAATGCTCACATCTACAATCCGCTCGATATGAGGACCCATGTCCCTAAAAACAGTAAGGACACTAGTGGACCAAGATGCATAATTTGAACCATCTAAAAGTAAAAGCTCTAGAGATACCTCCTCACTTGTCGACATCGTCTCTCAAGGCGATTAAGCCCGAAAATGAGAGCCTTGCTCTGATACCAATTGAAAGGACCTTGATGTCGCCTAAAGGGGGGGTGAATAGGCCTATTTAAAACAAAACTCGAAAACTGTTGTCAGTTCCAGAGCGGCATTGCCGGGCACATGCGTGGCATGCCGGGCACATGCGCGGCACTGCCACGTGCACAGACACCTGTGGAAGCATAATTCAAAAACTGACCAAGGAAAAGTAGACCGAGCAAATTACTGAGGTTCCTAGGGTAGTGTAGAGCCTATTCCACCACCTGAATGTTGACGGAAGTGCACGAGCAAGTAAATCGGGACCAAACCCTAGAATCACCACAAACACAAATATAGCAATGCAAATCACAACAACACAAGTGAGACACCGATTTATCCCATGGTTCAGCTCGCCACTAAGGTTTGCCTATGTCCACATTGTTGAGGAAGCCACTAAGGCTTTGGTCTCTTTCAACCTTATTCTCGTTCTCAAGTCAAGAGAACGAACTCTTGAGATGAGGGGTGATTTTACTTGCTGATTAGGGTGATTACAAACCTTCTGGGCTGCCATACAAGTTGGCAAGCTCCACATGCGACGCTCTAGTCGGCTAGGAGCAAGCTCCAAGAGTAACAAACATAATTTACCGGCTTGAACACGAACCAAGTGCTCTAGGAGATGAAGAACAGATTGGTGAGCTCTCTAATACAGTTTGGAGGTTCAAACTCTCATGGATTTGCAAGAGAATCAAAGGGAGAAGCTTGAGGGGCTCCAATGGTGAGTGAGGGAGAGAGAGGGCTGCTCTAGTCGCACTTGGGAGGGGAATGGCCAAGATAACCGTTGGAGGGGATGAGGAAGAGATAAAATACCCCCTCAGCCCCAACGGTCACTTTAAGTCATGGCAGTGCCGCTCAAGCCAGGCAGCCAATTAAGCAAAGAATGAAAAGCTTGCTGCAGTGGCTAGGTTATGAGGATATTTGGTGGGTAAATGAGCACTTGGTTGCATATTAAAGCTTGTGCATTGTATCCCCCTTTATAGTATGGCTTTTCCTAAACTAAAATTCAATATATCAAAGAATTTAAACACCTTTGAGTTGGTCCCCGCATCCTTTTATAATTGGGGGCTCCACCGTCGAATGTATTGTTCTCATTCCCATTATACCTTGAGCATGTGACTTGACCCATTTCAACACATGTGAGCTCAATCCATGACTTCAAGTCACTTCCACTAATGATTTGATTCTCAACACAATATGACTCCTCATAGCTCAATTAGTTCCTCGACTTAATGCAAGTACTCTCTTCTTCACCTTAGCCATGGTACCTCGGTCCTCAAGCCATCGCTTGCCCTTCACCTTCAGTTAGTCCCTCGAAGCCCTTTCCTTGCTATCTTCACTCTATGGAGCCATACTCAAGCCATATCATAGTAAGCATCCATTGAAAAACTATTTCTTTAATATTATGATCCTTGCTTGACTATCTACTAGATATGAATGTTGAGATCAATCAAGCTTCAGTTGGATTCACATAGATTGAGATATATAAGTCAACATCAATGTGGTCAAGCCAATTCATGATTCCTTATATCCTATTCATTTTGGCTTGACACTCCTAACACTCACTTCAATATCCATCTTCATACTTCTAGCTTGATCAAATCAATGCTAAGTGATTTTCTAAATCTTTATCCATACAGGCAAACCAACATAGAGACTGACTTATAGCCAATATGAGTTGTGTCTTTTGTCATTTAACCTTTGCTTGGTATTTCTTCACTTATGTATTCTTGACTCATTCTTCAATCCTTGATCAAAGCTAATCCACTATCAAACTCTTCTTGTTCATGCAAAGCAAGCCATTATTGAGATCAATCCAAAATCATCAACTCATGTCTCTTTTGCCATTTGCCAAATATGCTTGCTTTCACATGTTACTATGATATCCTACAACATAGAAGTCATTTCATCAACTCCATTTGCATTGTTGTCTCCAACACAACAATACACAACTTTGGCCTTCATCTCAACACTATGTGGAATACCATCAAGCTTGCTTTCTTGTTGAACCTATATACACTTCTTATTCCACAATCCACAAGTGTATGCAATAAACTCAATTTTCTGTTCAACACTTAGCAAACTTGTTAGACCTTTAATGGTGTTGTCATTCAATTCACCAAAACCCACTAAAGGGCTAGATGCACTTACACCGTGTCTGCCTCATATTCTTCGCAGTGGCTGCCCTACTAGAGTTCCTCGCTTAGTCACCGTTGTTTGGTCTCTAGTGGATGCTTGGCCACGATTGCCCTTGGTCCTCTCTCTGGCAGATGCTTTCCTGTCGAGTATGTGTGGTCCTATCACTTGTGGTTGCTTTGCCGCCACCATCGTCGTTGGTCCCCTCTCCGGTAGATACTTTGCTGCCGAGTGTGTGTGGGCCTCTCACCTTGCGGATGCTTTGCTGCCAAGGTTACTCTGATCTTCTCGTGCGAATACTTCTCTACCATCGTTGTTGGTTGTTCGTCTCGTCTTCTTTGGATGGTTGCTTTGCCACCATGGCTTCGCCCGCACTGTAGGCAACCTTTGCTTTGATATATCTTCTTCTATAGGTCTAGGCTAGTAGGTTTTTGGGGCTGTGGGTTCTCCCCCTCTCACTGCTGTTTCTTTTCTTTTTCTCTTTAGTTGGTTTCTGTTCCACTGGCTTGGTGGTTTGTAACCTACGCTACGAGGTCTCACTCATAGCGGTGTCATGTAATTCCATTCCTCTTAATGAAACACTTGCCAAGGCATGTTCGCGAAAAAAATATATACAGTTGTATGCCACCACACCAAACTAAACTATTGTGTCTGCTTGTACATTTTTCTGAACCATCATGTTTGTAGTACCTGCTACTTTTGCGCTCCTAGAGCGTGCCTCCTTTATTTGTGAGTGTGAACTTCATTTCTTTATTTGTGAAGCATGTGTGATACTAGTACCAACCAGTCATCTGAAATAATATTTTCACATAAACTTTATCCAGATTGCGGCCATGTCTTCATTAGCCTATGGAATCTTTGGACTACCGGAACAAGTTAGTACTCCGCAATTGCGCTCGTAGTAGAGTCCAGACAAGATGTTATACAAAAACCAGGCACCTAGGAATATCCTGCTGCTCACCAGCGACACATGCAATCCCAGATGCTACCACCTCCACTCACATGATTCCATGGGCTTCAAGATAAAACCAGGACAAAACCCAACGGGAGGAGATCACAACTCGCATGACAATGACTCTTTCTCAGCAGACAAAGCTAGAACTATCCATCTGTCTCAGCAGCAGATCGACAAAAAACAACTCATTCATCTTCTCTTTGTTTATACATACGTGTATGTATAGATGGAGCACTGAAGAATACGTACATGGTTCTTAATTTGTTATTTCTATGCAAGTTGTCTCATGCATCCCATACATACAACAAATAAAAGTAAAAAAAAAAACTAGCAAGATCAGCTGATGACATATGGGACTATGCATGCAAGCTGCCTGCCTACGTCACTGGCATCCCACCTACACTGCTAGAGGAATCAAGCAAGGACATGCATGCCCCTGACTCCACAACCTTGTGCTTGTGCCACCCCTTCTTTATCCTCTTGCGTTTGGAAGAATCTGCTACGTGGCAAAAGGCCCAAGGATCACGTACACACATGGCCTTGGCTTCATCTCATCTCTTACATTGTACCCAAGCTAGGCCTAAGGTAGAAGGTAGCAGCAAACCGGCATGAAGATCTCCTCCACATGGAGGATATCACTCTGCTTCAATTTTCTTTTATTTATCTGTTGGTGATGGTGTGCATGTGTGCAAGGTTGATGAATGAAAGAACTATATATATCCAGGGCCGGTCCTGGGGGTGGGCAGGGTGTGCCACCGACCTAGGCCTCAGATTTAGGTGGGCCTTAACCATATAGTAGATTAGTAGTACTAGTATTAGTATAGGCCATTAGTTTATACATAGCAAGCAGTGTACGTTATGTGGGCTTCTTTAGGCTGTAGCCCAATATAGCAAGCGCAGGTCTAGGAAGGCTTTGCCTTCGACACTTTTCAGTTTCCATTCAGAGCTCGGTGACTCGGGAACTCGTCAACAGGAAGGTCATGACTCACGAATTGACGAACTGTGCGGCCGCCGGACGTAATGACATGTAATCGAGCAGATCAACAATTCTTAGGGCCTATTGGATCCCAATTTCCATCATCCTCATCCGTGATCCAGTTCGCAGCCGCATCAGTCGATCAATCATCACGGGATCGCCTCACGGCAGAGGACAGAGAGGATATCCATAGGTAAGCACCGTTCGGTTTATTCGATATAAGTTTTTTTAGTGCATCAAATATTATCTTCTAAATTGACATGTATTTGGGAGTATATGTATAAATAGAAATATATATACATATTTTTAGAGAGTAGACTGTAGGCCTCTGTATTAGTTCTCCACCTAGGCCTAGAAAAACTCAGGACCGGCGCTGTATATATCGTCGTCGTTCACTTGAGCTGCATGGCCTCCAATGGCCTCCCCAGCAGGGACAGCACGGTGGCGGCGATGTGCCGCGGCGTCAGCCCCGCCTCCTCCATCTGGTCCTGCGGCGCGCCATGGTCGATGTACCGGTCCGGCAAGAACATGGATCTCAGCTGCAAATTAACAACACAAGAACATACATTGTTAGCAATAATCCCATTTCAATTCAACTGAAAATGACTAGTTACAGCTACAGGCTAGCTTTTCGGTGACGTTGACTGGTACTGACTTTGAGGGGCCCGTCCAGGAGGCCGGTCAGGCTGAGGTAGTGGGCGACGTGGGAGCCGAACCCGCCGATGGACCCCTCCTCGGCGGTGATGAGCACCTCGTGCTCGGCGGCGAGCTCCCGGATGAGCTGCGTGTCGAGCGGCTTGCAGAACCGGGCGTCGGCCACGGTCACGTACACGTCGTGCTCCTTGAGCGCCTCGGCAGCCTTGAGGCAGGCCTGCACCATGGTGCCGTACCCGAGCAGCGCCACCCGGTTGCCGCCGACCAGCACCCTGCCCCTGCCCACCTCCAGCGGCGTCCCCTTGTTCCCCGGCGGGAGGACAGCCCCCACGCCGTTGCCGCGCGGGAAGCGGAAGCAGCTGGGCCGGTCGTCGATGGCAGCCGCCGTGGCCACCATGTGCATCAGCTCCGCCTCGTCGGCGGGCGCCATCACCACCATGTTGGGCAGGCACGCCATGTACGTCACGTCGAAGGCGCCGCAGTGCGTGGGCCCGTCGGCGCCGACGAGCCCCGCGCGGTCCAGCGCGAACCGCACGGGGAGCCGCTGCAGGTCCACGTCGTGCACCACCTGGTCGTACCCGCGCTGCAGGAAGGAGGAGTAGATGGCGCAGAACGGCTTGAGCCCGTCGGCGGCGAGCCCGGCCGCGAACGTGACGGCGTGCTGCTCCGCGATGCCCACGTCGAAGCACCGCTCCGGGAACCGCTTCTGGAAGTAGTTGAGCCCCGTGCCGCCGCCCATCGCCGCGTGGATCGCCACCACCTTGTCGTCGGCCTCCGCCTCCCGGATCAGCGACTCGGCGAAGTACTGCGTGTACGACAGCGTCGGGGACTTGGACTTGGCCTGCCTCCCCGTCGACGGCTCGAACTTGACGACGCCGTGCATCCGGTCCGCCGCCGCCTCCGCCGGCGGGTAGCCTTTGCCCTTCTCCGTCACGATGTGGATCAGCACGGGCCCCGGCGCCGGCATCGACTTCACCTTCTGGAAGATGGTGACCAGGTCCTCCACGCTGTGCCCGTCCACGGGGCCGATGTAGTAGAGCCCCAGCTCCTCGAACAGCGACGAGCCCGACGCGCTGATCATGCCGCGCGCGTACTCGTCCACCTTGGCGGCCACCTCGTGCGTCGGCCCGCCGATCTGCTTGGTGACCGACTTGGCGGCCTCCCGGAGGCGCCGGAACTTGGTGCTGGACTGGAGCTTGGTGAGCGCCCGGCTGAGCGCGCCGACGGGCTTGGACGGGCCGTCGAGCGTGGCGGTCGGCAGCGACACCTGCTTGTTGTCGTTGAGCACCACGATCATGTTGGCGTCGAGGTACCCGGAGTTGTTCATGGCCTCGTAGGCCTGCCCGGCCGTCATGGCGCCGTCGCCGATGACGGAGATGACGTGGTTCTTGCGGCCGAGGAGGTCCCTCGCCACGGCCATGCCCAGCGCCGCCGAGATGCTGGTGGAGCTGTGGCCCACGCCGAACGCGTCGTGCGCGCTCTCGTCGCGCTTGGGGAACCCCGCCAGCCCGGAGGTCTGCCGGATGGTGTGCATCCGGGACCGCCGCCCCGTCAGGATCTTGTGGCCGTACGCCTGGTGGCCCACGTCCCAGATGATCTTGTCGTCGGGGGTGTCGAACACGTGGTGCAGTGCCACCGAGAGCTCCACCACGCCCAGGCTCGAGCTCAGGTGGCCGCCCGTCTTGGACACCGTGTGCACGATCTCCGCGCGGAGCTCCGCCGCCAGCTGCTCCAGATCCGAGGTGGAGAGGTTCTTCATGTTCAGCGGGTAGTTGATGGTGTCCAGCAGCGGCGTCGCCGGCTTCTCGCCGGAGGAGAAGTCGATCTTCCACGGGCCGGATGACGACGTGGCCGCCGCAGCCGCCGGCTCCGCCTTGGAAACCATCATCTTCCCGCCGTCGGCTCCGACGCTGCTGCTGCTGCTCCTGCCGCCGGCCACCTGAGCGCGCACCTGGAACTGCAGACAAAATTCGATTTTTAAGCGCAAGGAACAAACGGAGGAGCATCGTTCTCCCCGGCCGCGTCACGGGGCAGTCAGTAGGTGGCAAGTACCTGCCGCCGGCAGGAAGCGTTGGCCGTGGCCGGGACCGCACGGAACGCGGGCGGCGACGATGCCTGGAGCGCCATTGGAGACATGCACCGCGAGTTATTAGTTACTCTGTAGCTTGTATAGCTAGCGTGCAAGGATGCCGCTCGATGCAGGTAAGCTTTGTATTAACTGCTCCAGTAGCTGGAACTGAAGCTCGACGGCGACGCCGCGCGCGCGCTGGGGCGAGGAGATGGAGGAAGAAGGCGGGGGCCGTGAAGGGGAAGCAGAGGAGGCGGGTTTATATAGGCGCGGCGCGCTGGTGGTGGTGCATTGACGTCAAGAGTGATCTACTATTACTGGAAGTGGAAGGAGAAGAAGAGAAGTACACGTGGTGGGAACGAGAAGGGATGGATTAGAAATTAGAAAGGCGAGAAAACGAGTAGAGTTCGGTTCGGGGGAAGCTGCTTCGTTCTCGCGCGATTAATCGCCATTTGCATGCGAACCAGTGCTATTATATTACTATATACTACTCCTTCAGGTAAAACTTTCTACTTTTGAACTTGGGCCGCTTCGCTTCGCTGAAAAGTCATGGCTATTTATTGATTTATTATAAGAGAAAAATACTATTTATTTATTGAAAAAATACGACTCATAAGACAATATGGGCCTTTCTGGACATGTTTTGAGACTAGGTTTTGTATTTAATTTTTTCTATTTTTTAGAAAATATAGCGGAACAACAGAAAATATTTATAACATGAACTCCCTAACTCCTATAAATAACACAATAAATTCCAATTTTTCTTAAAACAACTTAAAAAATATTGAAATGACGTGTGTACCATGGATTAAACCTACTAAGGAGTTTCTCCTCAAATTTTGGTTTCCTTTTAACAAAATTTGACAAATCTAAACCTGGGCACCTCATAGACCACCTTATATTTTAGTACAAAAATTAAAAGCCATATAGTTGCCATTTATCAACCAATCATCATTAATTATGTTGGTAATAGCGTCTGATTATAAAATAAATTAAGGGCACATGCGTCCTTTTGTGTTTTATCTTAATCTTTCTAAAATCTCTAGAATACACTGTATTACAGGACAAAGTACACTTTAAGCTCAAGAAGTTAAAGGAAGCTCATTCCAAATTCACGCCCTCTCGACAATGACTGACTCAAATTGCAGTAGGATACCTTCTCAGAACAAACAAGTTCTACGATCAAGTTTTACTTTTAGTATGACTTCATTAGTTATAAACATGAAAAATTGTCAAGCAGATGCCTAGGTCCAAGCTGATGAAGTCGGCCCGAACCACTTGGGGAAACATTGCCTATATGTCAAATTTTACTTTCAGGCCATATTTGTTTTCTGCTATACTACAAAATAATGTACACAAAGGTACAAGTCCTAACGCCAAATTAAAGACGGAGTTAAAATGAAATGCCTTTTGCTTTCAAGGAGTTAAAGTTAATTTATCTTTTTAGTAGTAGTGGTAGAGTAGTAACTACTTTAAGTTTCAACTTAGGTACAAGGCGCGTGTCTTGAAAACTCCTCGTTTGGGTTTCTGTCCACTGAACTCACACTGACTTCCAAGCACGTGTCCTGACTAGTAGGAGAAACTGACTTGAGACCTTCCCAACAAGGGCACAGGTCGTCGTAGGACCCAGCTAGCATCCAGCAAGCAGCAAGCATCAAGCAGCAAGCATCCGGCGTGCGTGATTCCTCCATAGACCGGTCCAAGGATGCTACTGTATGGTATGGGCTCGTTTTGGAAAGTTCCGGGGTTCTTCGATACCCAATCTGTCCTGGATATATTCCGCTGGATGAGAATCATCAACGTGCCCAGGCCATGTCGTTCCTGGCTAGGCAGCGGGGACGACAGTGCCCTCTATCTCTACCATACCGCAGGAAAGTACCGTTCACTGATTTGTTGTGAGAGAAAAATATTATCCCATGACTGATAAGCCAGGCTCGTAAGTTCAAGCGAATAGAGCGGAGAATGTCTCCGATGAACTTGCACAACTCCAGAGTCCGGAGAGCGGAGAACGTCTCTGATGACTACACGTGTGTCTTTTAGCATCATCATGGTTTATCTGAATGTCTATTAGCGGGCATTAGCTTGCACTAGTCTATCAACCAGTAGTACTCCTGCACTAGCTTGCATTAGCTTGTCAGACAGCTACACAAACTCGACTGCCCCACCAATGTGCCAAAGCAAGAGCTTGGGACCTTCGTTGCCCTCTCATGCTGGCAACTATGGAAACTGCGCAATGCAGTCATCTTCAGGTCAGAGCAGACTTCAGTAGTACAACGCTTATTTGGTACTTGCAGAAGTGAAGCCGAGCAATGGCGTGTGAGGCTGTCAAGGAAGAAAAGGCCGATTGTAGACACTTGGTGCCAGTTGTTCCAGGATGCAATGGTAACCTAAATCCCTGTAATCAGTCTTGATCTTGTTTTTGTGAAATGTAAAAGGGAACTATGTAAACACGTACAGGCCATTTTGGGCCATATATATAGGTAAAGTAATAAAAATAACTTATTCTATAGCCAATTTATCATAATGTTTGTAAAATTTACGGGCCATGAATATGCATTTACGATATATATATAACTCACGGTGATATTTACCATAATGTTATAGTAAATCATTTAGTAAGGAGTTACTATAATCTGATAAATTAGCATAGTAATTATCATAACTAAAAGTGGCCATAGAATAAGTTATTTTATGGCCAGCTGCAGAACAGTGTATATATATATATATATATATATATATATATATATATATATATATATATATATATTAGAATAACTTATTCTGTGGCCACTTTGAGTTACGATAGTTACTATGCTAATTTACGAGACTACAGTAACTCCTTACTAAGTGATTTACTATAACATTATAGTAAATATCACCATGAGTTGTAGTAACAACGAGTATCGTAAATGCACATTCATGTTATCGTAAATTGGTACAAACATTATCGTAAATCAAGGTGGGGAGCAATCCCCCCCTTAGACATTACCCCCTTAACATTATGGTAAATGCACATTCATGTTATTCTATGGCCAGCTGCAGAATAGTCTTACCCTATATATATATACACACACACAACAGGTGGGGAGCAATCCCCCCCTTAGACATTCAAAAGAAAATAGAAATCCGTGTTTAGTAGCTACAAAACTTATCGAAATTACTTATCTTTTGTGTATTCTATCTTTCTCTTTGTTCATTTATAACACAATATCCTTGTAATCTTTTATCTTTTTGAAGTAAAACTCGCATCTTTATTATAACACAGGGAAATCACGAATTGTCAAAAAAAAATTACAAACTCTGAGAGATCTACCCATAAAACAAACCCATGTAAGCTAACTCATGCGCTCTTAATATAAATAAAAATGGTTTCTAAAGGTGTCTCCTTTTTTTTCTAAACGTGGTTATCTTACGAATCACCTCTAGAAATAGTAGAAATGGTGCCCACCTTATCAACCTGACAATCGGTTTCTAGGAACGGATTCATTTTTAGTGTATTTCCAACCGTTCCTAGAAGTAGATCAACAGCCGCGGTACATAAGATATGTATAGATAAGAGTAAACTTTGAAAAAGCATACAACTGCTGTAACTTTTTAGCCCTAAATGGCAAAGCTATAACAACTGTGACACTAAATTGTACTACCTCCATCAAGAAAAGAATATAATTCTTGTTTTGTTCATAGTCAGACTATCTAAATTTTGATCCAGTTTATTTGAAGAAAGATTACAAATAGTTCTAACGTCAAACAGGTATACTATATATGAAAATACATTTCATGACGAATATAATGACAATTATTTAGTATAATAAATATTGTTATTGATTACAACAAAATGATTTTAGAAGACACCTAAATCATTTCATTTTTAGAGGCGGTCATAAGAAAACACTGTCACCTAAGTTCACTAGGTGGTCTCACATCCAATACACACCTTTGTGAACAAGTCCATTTTCACAGCAAGGCCTCATTATTCCACTGACACTGTAATTAGTTTCAAGGCTCATTAAATCTAGTCCACTCCTCAGCAGCCCAAGGGTTTCCACCATCCTCCCAATCCTCGACTCCCATAGGCTTCTCTTCTCCCACTTTTCTCTCGGCCAGTGCCACAAACTTCTCTCTTGGGATCTCCTTTTCCTCCACCACCAGCACCGCGTACCCCCTTCTTCTGAAGACTGAGCCTCGTACCCTTCTTCTCGTGTGTGGTGGCCTCGCTCCTCTGACTTTGAGTGGCTAGGATCCTTGGGCACATGGCCAATAGGCTACACAAGCACACATGCCACCAGCTTTTTAATTGGGTAAGGTCCACGGCTCAAGCGGTGGGGCGTGGTGGCCTCCTTCGACTTTGAGCAGTGGGCGAGCGACCAGGATCGGTGATGAGGACATCATCCCATTGGATAAACACTACATTCTTCAAGTTAGGCCTTTCCAATACTGATTTAGTACGAGTTCACATAGTTTCCCAAACCAAACTGTATGCTTATATTTTAGATAGGTTGGTTTGTCGGTGTATGGTTTGAATTAGAGATAGAGGAGGTCAAGGTCAACCCTAGGCAGCAATGAGGGGCTCCTCATCCCTGGCAATAGTGAATCCTACACCACTGCCGCCACGCGCTGCTACTAGCTATGTCGGTAGCTCCGGTCACCAAGAGTGGCCTCTTGACCCTGCTCGGTTGTGGTGCCTCCTCCCGTAAGGCTGATGATGACTCCATGGCTACTCACGGTGCATCCAAGAACATGACTACAGACCTCGCGGAACTCTTCACAATGCTGCCCTATGTTGCAACATCAGAGGGCTTTGAGGCCTTGTCCCATGGCGACAGCATGTTTCAGAACTAAATGTTTTTGGACCTCATGTTGGTGGCTCTAGACTCCAACTTTGTGATGCGTGTGGTGGCTCCCAAGTCAACACGTAGGGCTGCTGTCAGGGAGGTGGCTAGTGATAGGCCCAACGAGACAAAGCAGGGGCCGCGATGCCAGTGACTACCTCCACTACCTGTGGGCATCATGTACCAAGCCACGACATCCCGTAGTGGCAACTGGTCTAGCTAGGTGTTGCGGGTTGGTT